TTGGAAGGCAATCATCTTTCTAGTCCTTGTTTTGCTTTTGTTTTTGGCTGCTTTAATAAATTGTAAATGAAATCTCCACTAGGTGTTACTAAGCTACAGACATAGTAACACCCTGCTCAGAACTAGCTTTAGGCCCCACTTAGGCAACTGGTACATGGTGAGTGAAGTCTAGTTGGACCCAGTTTTTGCCCCCAGGGTGCTGTGACTCCAGGAGTCAGGAGAAAAGGAGAGAACTGGCAGCCTCCTCACCATTGCCAGAGGTTCTCCCTGCTGTTCCTGGAAGGGCAGTGCTGTTCCCATCTCCGGAATTAACAAAAAGAACCCTTGTCCGAAAACTGGAGACTTGGTCTTCTCTCAATCCATCAGTAAGTTGCTAGGTATCCTATGTTAAACACTAAATGCCAAAGTCATTACTGTTCTTTCTTTGTAAAGTGATCTTGTTTTAAGATCTTTTCTTGCAGTCCCTTGTGTTTTGGTTTCTCTGTCCACAGGTGCAAGTTGAAGTGATTTTTTTTTGTTGTTGTTAATCATATCCACCCTCTTTATTCCTTACTGGCTACTGTGATTTGGTTATGGTTTTCTCCTCTGTGTTGCTTTTGTCAGGGTATTTTTACCACAGCAACAGAAATGAAACAAACACTGCAAATATGAGGATCTGAGTTCAGAGCACAGCACTCATGTTTTTTGTTTTTAAAAAGGCTGGGCATGGTGGTGTATGCCTTTAATCCTAGTTCTTGGGAGGCTGAGGCATGCAGATCTTTGTGAGACTGAGGGCAGCCTCAGTTTCAGGCCAGCTGGGGCTACAGAGACACCCTGTCTCAAAACAAAAACAAAAACAAAACAAAAAAGACTGGCATGGGATGTGCACCTGTGACTCTACCATTATGAGGAGAAGAGCCAGGAAGATCACTGGGGCTTTGTTTTGTTGAGATGGAATTTTGTTATATAACTTGAGGTGGCCTAGATCTTCTGGGATAGTATAAGCTGGCCCTCAAACTCATATTTCTACCTCAACCTCCCAAGTTGTGGAATTACAGGCATGTATTACCATGCCTGACTTATTTTCTTTTTTAAAAATTTGTTTTTAAATTTTATGTGTATGAGCGTTTTCCCTGCATGTATGAAAGTGCACCTGTATATGTCACACTCTTGGAGGCCAGAACAGGGCATCAGATCCCCTGGAAATGGAGTTACAGATGATTGTTAGCTACCATGTGGGTGCTAGGAACTGAACCTGGGTCCTCTGCAAGAGCAGCCAGTGCTCTTAACCTCTGCGCCATCTCTCTAGCCCCCTGACTTGTAATTTCTATTCTGTCATTTTGTTTGTTATTAATTTTTGGTTTCTAGTAGCAATTTTTTATTACATTTTTATTTATTTTGGGAGCTGGGGGGCACACATGCCATAGTGTGTGCATGCATAGGTCAGAAGACAACCTGTGGGAACCAGTCCTCTCCTATTTGTGGGTCCTGGGGATCAAACTCAGGTTCACAAGCTCAGCACAAGCACCTGTATCCACCAAGCCACCTTACCAGTCTCAAATGATGGTTTGCAAAAGCTTTCTTGGGGTGGAGGGAGTAGAGCTGGAGCTTTGAGGTTTAATAGCCTGGCCCACTTTCTGTTCTCCCTCTTGGCTTTCTGTGTGCAGATGAAATATGATCAGTTTCCTCACTGACTGCCAGGTTATCCTCAGATCATCCTGTCATGCTTTCCCTGCTGTGATAGACTATCCCCTCTGGAACTGTAAGCCAAAATAAACCCTTTGTTCCATAAGTTACTTTTTTTTTGAGACAAGGTCTCATTATGTAACCCTGGCTGGCCTGGAATTCACTACATAGACCAGGCTGGCCTCAAACTCACATAGATCTGCCTGCCTCTGCCTCCTGAGTGCTAAGATTAAAAGTATATGCCACAAGTCTCGCTTCCTAACTCAGTTTTGGTCAGAGTATTTTATTATAGCCACAGAAAAGTAATTAATATGCATAGCATTTTCTATAAGGAAACCTCTCATTCAGAGTAACTAGAATGTCACCCTGGGCAATGGTCACTTATTTTGGCCCAGAATAAACTATCACGTATTCTCTTTGGAAAACATTTTTCAAAATTAGTTTGGAAATGTAATCATTTCTACTTAAATCAACTTAAAACAAGCAATCTGTTACTAAAAATTTGGATGTTCTGCATGATAATACTAACCTTCAGCCTATTTTTCACTTTATTTCAAACAATAAAAATTATAATGTTTCCTGGTGTGGTGGCACATGCCTTTAATCCCAGCACTCAGGAGGCTGAGGCAGACAGATCTCTGTGAGTTTGAGGCCAGCCTGGTCTACAGAGTGAGTTCTAGGCCAGCCACAGTTACATAGTAAGATCCTGTCTCAAAACAAACAAACAAACAAAAAACCCAAACAACAAAAAGACAATAAAAATAATGATGAAAATTATACTGTGTCAACACTAAATACTCAGCTAATTTCTTAAAAGATACCTAAAGCTTGATAATATTCTTAAGTATAATTTTAGTAAATGCAAACTATCTTGTCTCAGTTGATTGTGAAATATTTAGTATTGTTACTTGATCACCAAATAATATTGTCAGTAACAAACAAGGGCTTTGTACAGTGGAAGATTGTTGACCAAGATGGTCTAATGTTCTCAGTTTGACAAAAGTAGAGCGACTTCTTGCCAACTCTGGATCTGTGGCCTGCAGTTAGGGCATATTTTATTTTATTCTTTGAGACAGGGTATTATGTGGCCTAATTTGACCTTGAACTTGCTATGTAGCCAAGGATACCTTTGAATTCCTGGTCTTCCTGCTTCTCTTTCCCATGTGCTGGGACTAATGATGTGTGCCACCATACTGTCTAGGGCCATGTGCTTCTGAAGGTGCTGAGGGAGACTCTGCTCCACACCTTTCCCTTCTCTTCTGATGCTGCCATTAAATCATTGGTGTTCACTCTTCTACCATTCTATGGCATTCGCCCTGTATGTGTCTGTCTGTGTCTCTTACCTACTTCTTACAAGGACACCAGTAGAATAAAGGGTCCACACTTGTCGGGAGCTGTGACTTTATTGCCCAGCTTAGGCATTGAAGACCTTGCTTTGAAGAAAAGAAGATTGCCACTTTAAGAGCTTCTTTGCTCTTTGCTTCAGCGGTTTGAGTTGACAGGCTATGCCTCCTTGATTAATTGGCTATCTTGGAAACATAACTAAAGAGTTTTGTTTCAGTTTATGGGCACCGGAGTCTCTCACCATTGTTTACCTGGTTTCTGTAAAAGAATCATAAATTCTAATAGTTGTTAAGAGTGATCATGGGCAATACACATTGTATCCTAGAGATTGTAAACATTATGTATCTGTAACTATCATGGGAGTATCGGGTGATGGTGACGTGATGCAGTAACATGCTGCGTCCTTAGTTACTTTCTGTTAGTAAATGTATCCTTAGTGATTCCTTGGTTACTTCTTGGTTACTCCTGATCTGATTCCTATATAAGCTCTGTGTGATTCACAACAAGTAGTAGATTCATTATTATGATTATGCTTGTGCTTGCTTGATTGTCAGAAGTATTTCATTAATCAATAAATAAGCTTAATGCATTAGCATCAAGACTCTTGTCTTGATTTCTATCTTGTTGGGGTCCCAAGCCTGGTGGGCTTGGGGGCGTCTGACACACACTGACCTGTATGACTGCCTCATAATTTACATAATATTACACCTGCAAAGATTATATTTCTAAATAAGGGTACCTTCACAAGTGCTAGAGTTATGACCTCCACATGTTTCCAGAGGGATACAGTACAACTTGCAATAGACTGCAAAAACTACTTGGAGAGACTTTTCTTGCATTTTATTTTATTAAAAATATTGTGTTGTGTAAATGTGGGATGCCCATTCTTCTGTAAATAAATCACTACCCTGTGCTCTGTTTGAAAAAAAAAAAGTAAAAAAAACTTGTCTTGTGGTGCTAGAGACATGGATCAGCAGTTAAAGGCACATACTGTTCTTGCAGAGGACCTGTATTCAGTTCCCAGCACCCACATCAAGCAGCTTACAATCACCTGCAACTCCAGCTCCTGCTCCTCTTCTGATATCTAAGGGCACCTGCACTCACATGCACATAATTGGTAATAATTTTGTTTTATTATTTATTTATTTATTTATTTATTTATTTATTATGGTTTTTTTGAGACAGGATCTCCCTCTATCCCCACCTGGCCTGGAACTCACTATGTAGTCAAGTTCACAGCGATCTACCTGCCTTTGCCTCCTGTGTGCTGGGATTAAAGGCATGTCCATCATGCCCAGCCTTCATATAATGAATTTTCATATATTCAGATTTATGTGACTGCATGCATGTATGTAAGTACGTCTGTGTGCAATGCCTGTGGAGGTTGGAAGAGGGGGTCAGATCCCCTGGAACTGGAGTTATGGACAGTTGTTAGCTGCCATGTGGGTACTGGGAATCGAAGTCCATTTCTCTGTAAAGGCAGCTAGTGCCCTTAACCTCTGAGCCATCTCGCCAATCCCTTACTTAAAAATAATTTAAAAAATATTATCTGTGCTTCAGCAGTGTTAGATAAAAACCAGGCAGGGAATAGCCACAGAAAACACAGGAGGACTCCAGCAAAGCAAAGTTTATTTGCGGGGATTGCTGGGGCCTGGCAGCTCAGCTCAGGAGAAAAAGCAATCTGCAAGCCTGATGACTGCTGGAGAAGTTCTTATAGGGGGGTTGGGGAATGTGGAAGGTGGAAAAATAATCTTTACAGTTTCAGGGGAAGCAGAGGTCTTCATATTGTGAAACTTTTCAGAGGGAAGCAGCTTGTGCTGAGACAGCTCTTCCATCAGTCGGGTCTTGGGTCATGAGAGTAAGGGTCTGTCTGTCTGCAGATGGCTAATTTTAACTGTTAACTCAGTTCCTGCATTCCAATGGGCCCTGCAGAACTTTGCAGAATTTGTCCTGCAGGGGTTGTAAAGCCTTGCTGTACTATGGGGAGGGTTGCACTGACTCTATCAAGCAGCACATATACTAAAATTGGAACAATACATAAAACATCAGCATGACCCCTGTACAAAGATGTAAATTTGTGGTGTTTCATATCTTAAAAATCTATTGTTTTGCATTATACATAAAAGAAAATTTGTGTGTAAATGTTGACTGAAATGTTATATTGAGAAAAACATATGTCCTATGGAGTTAAGTAGTGAAAATGAAGAAGTATTTATTAGGTGGGACAAGGGCTTACCTAAGAGACAGTGTGCAGGCTGAGTAGCAATCCAGCTACCTGAATGGTGCACTTGTGTTGTTGTGAAGGTGAAGCTTTGTCAAGGAGGAATCAATGGATGTGGGAAAGGCAAGTGGTAGAGTCCTGTGGTGGTTTGAATAAGAATGTCTCCCATAGGCTCCAAATATTTGGACGTTTTGTCCCTAGTTGGTGGCACTGTTTTGGGAGGTTTTAGAAAGTGTGGCCTCACTGGGGGCCTGCTTAGAGAGTTGTTAAACCTTGCTGGATTTACAGTCACTCTCTGCTTCCTGTGGCTGCTTGAAGATGTGAGCACTCCTCTTTTATGCTCCAGCCACCTCTTGCCATCATGCTTCCTTATCATGATGGACTCTGGTTCCTCTGGAACTTATTATAAGCTCAAATAAACTCTTCCTTTGATAACTTCCCTTGGTCTCTGTGTTTTATCACAGCAACAGAAAAGTAACTAATAGAAGCCCCCACCTAAAAGGAGCACAAACGTGGATTAGAACACCAGTATTCTGTGAAATGAAAATCCAAAAATGTAGACAAGCAATTTTTTTTAACCTGGACTACAGTGATAGGGAGTGTGCCTCAAATCTGAAAGTGAGAGAACCTCTGCAGGGTGCTTTTGTCATAGATTTAGGGGAGGAGTAAGTCAGCTAGAGGTGAGATAGTGAATAGTGAAGTTGTTTTACATGCAGAAATCTTGTCAGCTAAACAGGAAATGTTTTTCTTTGTGGTTAGCTAGTTTTAAGGAAACCAATAGTTTTAATCTTAAATAATTATAACAAATAATAGAATTTGATGCTTTGTGTTTGACCTTGTCACAAGTAAATAAGAGGAATGTTCCATAAGAATCATGGGATTTACAAGTCCTGTGGGGGAAGGATGGTTCCTGGTAAGTTGTTTCCTAGAATGGGAAATAACAGAGAATTTTTAACTGCAGGATTTTCTCTAACATCTGAGATAAGACAAGGTGTCCACCCTTGAAAAGGAAAGCTAAAATTAATTAAGGAAGAGAACTAAAATCAATTGAGGAAAAACAAAAGAAAAACCCAGGATAGGTAACCTGAGAAGCCAGCCCTCTTGCTGGATAAGAAAACAGCTTCCAGTTTACCCAAGGTCTGCTTAAGAAAACAAGATTATGTTATTTTGTTTCTGTTTTTGTAAACACACTTCCCTGGTTTGGCATTCCAACTCATGCCCACCCTCCCATCCCCTTTTATGACAAGCCCAGTAAAGACCCCTGTGCATGGCCCTAGATCACCCTGTACATGGTTCACCTCACATAGGCTAGAAGGCCCTGTGACCTGATGTCCATTAATGCCAGAGTGGGTCTGAAATGATGCTAAATTGTCTATATATACTGAGGACTGTTGCTTATTGCCCAGGCTTTGGCAATAATGCTTCTAAACTTGCTGCCTGCAGGATCTGAAATAAAAACGGTTGACTCCCCCCCATTGTTCAATTTGATTAATATTTTACTACTTTTATTTTATGTGTATGAGTGTTATGTCCACATATACATAAGTGTCACGGTGCAGTGACCATAGTTCAAGCCTGAAGGGCTTGGGGACCCTGACAGATAGAAATCAGGACACAGGGGATGCAGAGACTTATGTGCCAGTGCATGTTTATTGTGAACTAAAGCAAGCTTATAGAGGAACCAGATCCGGAGTAACCAAGGAATAACTAAGGATACATCACTAAACAGAAAGTTACCAAGGAATAACCAAGGATACATTACGTTACTACCAAGAATACATTACTTCACCAACTAAATTTCACCCATCGTTTACAGTATCCAAGATTCAGCTGTGTAATATTTATAATATCTTAGATATAAGGTGTACTGTTTGTGATTACTCTTAGCAACTACCATAATTCATTATTTCTATATGGAAACCAAGCTAATGGTGCTGAGAAACTCCAGTGCCCATAAACTGAAACAGGACTCTTTAGTTATGTTTCCAGGACTGCCAATTAATCAGGGAAGCATAGCCTGTCAACTCAGACCACAGAAGCAGAGAGCAGGGAAACTCCCAGGGTGGAAGCCTTTTTTCTCCAGTGCTTAAGTCAAGGCAAAGCACCACAGCCTAATGCAGCAATGGCTGTGCCCATAATAATAATAGCTCCCAACACGTAAGTGTATACATTGTGCAGTGCCCACGAAGGTCAGAAGAAGGTGTCAGATCCCCTGGAACTGGAGTTATGGACTGCTATTAGCCACCCTGTGGGTACTTGGAACTGAACCCGGGTCCTCTGCAAGAGCAGCCAATGCTCTTAGCTGCTGAGCCATCTCTCCAGCCCCTTGGCTGTCTAATTCGAAAGCCACAGTTCCCATTAGAGTTTTTTTTTCTATCACACTCATTGCTTGTATTTGATACAATACATAAAGTTTTAGCCAGAGCAAATAGGAAAAAGAAATGAAAGGCATAGAACTAGGAAAGGAGGAAATCAAATTTCCTTGTTTACAAATATGATTCTGTAGTTATGGAAAAATTCTTCAAATAGCAAAGAGACCAAGCATGCATTCACCCAGGAAGATCTAAAGCTCATTTTTTCCTTATTCATGCATGAAGGTTCCAGAAGCAACAAAGACTTTTAGGTTCTTTGTGGCCCTGAACAGAAGTACAGAGGATGATTGTAAGTCAATTTTACATCATTAGAATACCAATGATGTTCATAGAACTAGAAAAAGAATAATCTTTTTTTTTTTTTTTTTTTTGGTCTTTTTGAGACAGGGTCTCCCTGTAGCCCCAGCTGGCACCTGGAACTCAGAGAGCTCAGTCAACCTCTGCCTCCGGAGTGCTGGGATTAAAGATGCATACTACCGACCAAAAAAGAATAATCTTAAAAATCACATGGGAAGCACAAAAGACCCCAATAGCCAAAGAAATCTTGGAGTAAAAAAGAAAGAAAGAAAGAAAAAAAAAAAGCTGGTGAGATGGCTCAGTTGGTAAGGGCGTTTGCTGCCAAGACTGACAACCTGAATTTGATCCTGTGAAAGCAGAGAACTGACTCCTGCAAGCCGTTCTCTGACTTCCATATGTGTGCTGTGGCATGCTAGTACACATGTAAACACACACACACACACACACACACACACACATACATAAATGTTAACAAACAAAAACAAAATAAGGAACTGGTCGTGGTGGTACACACCTTTAGTCTCAAGTACTTGGCAGGCAGAGGCAAGCAGATCTCTGTGAGATCAAGTCCAGCTTGGTCTACATAGCAAGTTCCAGGACAGCTGGGGCTACAGGGAGACACTGGCTCAAAACAGAACAAACAACAACAAAAAGGACAAAGTTGGAGTCACCATAACACTTGATTTCAAGAGCCATAGGAACCAAAATATCATAGTATTGTCATGAAAACAGACACATAGACAATGAGACAGAGTGGAAATTCCAGAAGCAAGCCCACATATCTATAGTCAACTGATCTTCAACAAAACACCAAAATTGTTAGTTGGAGAAAGGACAGTCCATTTAATAAACAGTGCTGGTGAAACTGGATATCCATATGCAGATGAAAGATTATATTTTACCATAAAAAAGCAACTCAAAATGGATCAAAAACATATATGTAAGAAATGAAAATATGAATCAACTAGAAATTACAGAAGTACCTCAAGGTATCCATCTAGGCGAATTTTGGGGTACAACCTCAAAGGCATAAATAATAAAGACAAAAACAGAAAACCTGAGATTGCATGAAATTGAGATGCATTTCCACAGCAAAGGAAACAATAGGGAAAAGACAGGACTCAGAGAGAGAAAATATTCACAAATTATTAATCTAAGAAAGGATTAATATGTAGAATATGTAAGGAACTAGGAAAACTCAACAACCACACAAGTAATCAATTTAAAATGGACAAATGACCAAAGTGGGTATTTCATAAAAGAAGAAATTAGCTGGCCAACAATGTGCGAGAAAATGTTTATTGTCAATCATTAACCTATCTTAGAGATACAAATGAAAACAATGAGGGGCTGGAGCGATGGATCAGTGGTTGAGAACACCAGCTACTCATGTTGTAGAGGATGGGTTCCCAATACCCATATAGGTGCTAACAACCATCCAAAACTCCAGGTCCAGGGGAGCTGATGCCCTCTGCTGGCATCCATGGGTATTGTATACACAAGGGCACTTGATACATGGAGACATACAACTCATACGCATAAAATAAAAATTAGCAAGCAAGCAAACAACAAAAAATGCAATGAAAGGGCAGAGTGGTAGAAGACATGCCTAGGGGCTGGAGAGATGGCTCAGCCGTTAAGAACACTGACTGTTCTTGCAGAAGACCCAGGTTCGAATCCCAGCACCCACATGGCAACTAACAACTGTCCATAACTCCATTTCCAAGGGATCCGACAGCCTCTTCTGTTCTCTGCAGGCACTGCATGACACAGGTGCACTTATCTACATGCAGGCAATACACACGTGCACATAAAAAATAAAAATAATAAATAAAATTTTAAAAAAGAAGACATACCCAGCATGTGTGGGAATCTAGGTCAAACAAAAATACAATGAGATACCATCTCAAGTTAGATTGATGTTTCATCCCAGCATTATGGAGGCACAGAAAGGAGGAACTCTAGGTCAGCCAGAGCTACGTAGAGAGACATCTGTCTAAGAAAAAGGTGCTGGTGAGGATGTTGAGGAGAAAAGGGAACTCATACCCTTATACCTTGTTGATGTGAATATAAATTATTATAGTCATTGTGGAAAACAGTATGGAGGTTCCTCAAAGAACTAAAAATAGATTATATGACCCAGCTCTCCTGCTTCTGGATACATATATCCAAATGAAATAAAGTCAGCATAATAAAGAGATGCAT